CACAAATGAGAACCTCCTCTTAAGAGTGAAGAGAAACACTAATAAGTACATGGTCTAGAGGTATTTTGGTTAGGTATCAACAGAATATTATCATTAAAAAAAAAAACTTATGGCAACTGTAAGAAAGGAGGAACCTTTTCTAGTTCTATGACTCTGCAGAGGGAAGACTTCTCAGCACCGGTATAGCATCATTTCTGCCTATCTTATAAACATACTTCACAACATATTGTAGACCTTGTAAATTTTAGAAACATAGCATAAAGTTTTTGCTGCTATTGCTTTAAAAAATAGAAGTCAAGAAAAATGTAGTTGCTAATTGTTTGGTTGAAGATATTAAGATTGACAATATTAATTTGAATCAAAATAATTTATTTTTCTGGATTCCTTACTACTGTGCAAGTAACAGATGAGCTATATTCAAAGATCTTACCAAGGATTTCCACCAGCTTGTTTTGCCAGAAGTAACCTCTTTTCATCTTCAGAAAACTGTAAGTCCAGCTCAAAGGAATTGTTGTCAAGATCATGAATATACTGTTCAATATTTCCTCCTGATGTCTGTGGTGTACTTGTCTCTGGGGCAGACAGTGAATGGGAAGAAGCAGAACCAGAAACTTGCATGCAACCAAACTGACTCAGGAGATTGTCATACTAAAGGAGGAAACAAAATGAAGTAAAGAAATTTCTTTGATTAAAAAGCTTATTTTGCACTAAACTGCAGCTTTTAATTTAAGCATGCTTTTGTTTATTATACTTTTGGGCAAAAAGACAGCCTACTCTCTATAGATTAACAGGCACTTATCCAAAAAAGCGTGCTTGGTCAAAAGCAAGCCAACCAGTACTTTTTCCAAACACTTTTTCAGAAAAAAAAAAAAAATGCTGACCAGTTCAAATTTTAACCAGCAATTTTATATTAGATTCTTCATAATTGAGTCTTCATTAAAATATAACTAATCAGTAGCTTCAATAAAAATATTTAATATGCAATAATTATGCTTTAATGACAGTCGCAGGCAGCAGAGCTGAACATAGCAATAGACAAACATACATTTCCATAACAGTCTTCATCATCCTCTGACATAGCAGGTAAATATGCTGTAAGTTTTGGGGGTGTCTGAAGATGTAGGTTCTCCCACACAATAGATTCGAAGAAGGGGTGAGCCTTAAGAGGTCCATATCCTCCCATTTCTTCACAACCTAATCTGTTGGTAGCATCTAGAACCTGAGCAAATTACAATGAAGTTAACATACATAAAATAATGACAAGGAAGGGGTAAGCACCATTGACATTTGCACAGCAGCATGCAAAAACTGAAAATCAGCTGGTCTCACTGCCGTACGCACACATATCTAGAATATAAGGAGACTGCTTATAACACAAGATGTTATTTGTCAGTATGTCTTGTCAGCAACATTTTGTATTGGACCACCTCACAGAACTAGAGAAAGGAGCACTTCTTTGGGTCCACACATGTTTTTGGCTTTATCTCTTCATACAGACAGAAACAAAACCAAGCAAGCATACAGAGAAGGCCTGATGGAGCATAGCCCATTTAAACATAGCTCAGCTTCACATTCTAGTGATGCATGAAGCTGTGGAAGCTATAGTTGGTGTCAAACATCAACCTCTCAAGCACCCTAAAACTACACAGTTCTCAGGATATTGATGCAACCTGGACATTACGATTCAGCAGGCACTGGCTTGGCCATAGAGCTGGCCTGGACACAGGAGCATGCTGCTAGGCCCTTTACGATGATTGCACTCATCGTCATCCACAAACAGAAGACACAGTCTCCTCCTCACCCCCTGCCCCATGATAGTACGCTAGACTATGGAACTTCACAAAGCTTATACCACCCAAAATGTTCTCTGCATATTCATTTTAGTGTCATGGCTATACCTCACTGATGAGAGAACTGTTTCTTCTTCTTATCTGTCAAACATTCACAGGCAGAGTAATTCTTTGGCTGATACTATTGAGACATGCATTAAGTGTGAGGTAAGTGCATGCTAAAATGCAAGGTAAGTTGATTTCCATTGTAATGAATATACCTCCTTGTGAAGTATAGAACACCGTTTTCAACTAAATGATTCATTATACAACTCAACAAGAATTAATCTGAGTACTATGTAAACCTAGGTATTTGAATCTTCTGTGTGTAATGCACAGTATTTAGAACCATTTGCTTCCATTTCACTGAGAGACATTCCTTGCCCACGCTTTAGAAGTCAGACTTAAAAAAAAATAACCTAAATGCTCTTTAATAATGGATGTTGATTTTCAAGACACTCCCCTACACAGTCAATAATGCTCACAGTCATTCTTACTGTAAGGTTTGCAATACAGTGCATAGAACTACATAAGCTGAATGGTTCCAATGTCATCAAATCCTTTAACAGCAGCAAATATTTACCAACAGCTTTTCAACAAGGTCTTTTGCCTTGGGAAAAAATTTTTCTGGAAAGTCATATTCCAACTTTATTATCTTCTGGAATATAAGATATTCATTTCTGCAAAAGAGAAAAATATTAGCTCTTGTTATTAGTTCTCCATAGGTCTTTCACCTTAACAGTGCATAATCTGGACAAATATTAAGTGGGAGATTTACAAGTTAAGTCATATTCCCATAAATCTTTCTAGGGTAAAGGGGTACAGTCCTGATCTATGATCCTGTAAGCACCAGATACTTCAATAATAACAAGAAAAGTTCAAACGGCTCAATACAGAGGTGCCTCACACCCTCTTCATGTAGGCATAGCTACCTTTATGGTATAAATTACATGTGAAATCCTAGGATAAATTAAGGAATCTCTCTCAGGAAGTCTAGCTATAGCTCTCTAAGCATCTTCATGACATCAGAAAGGACAAATAAAAGCAGGCATGACATTAACACCAACACTGCACCATGAAAAGTCGTACTTTAGAACTGGTAGTAAGGTAAAAGACAAAAGCAAGTAAATATATTTATGATCCACATGTAAAGAATTAGCTTAAATCTCTTACCCAGCTCTAAATGGAGGCAATCCAGCTACAAGCTGATATATTATACATCCCAGAGCCCAGAGGTCAGAGCTTCAAAAGAAAGAGGAAAAAACATATAGCATGTTTTTCTATAAGAAGTCTTTAAACTGTAATTTAAAAAAAATTCTTAAGCTTCTGCTAGTTAGAACATAGCACAAACACATCAGACAAACCTGCCTAGCATAATTTCCACACTATTTTCACTTCATTCCTTGACAGAAGAGTAGGCTAGCAACACAAGTTTCAGGGGAAAAAAAAGTATACAGTAATCATCCCACAACAACTGACTACAAGCACATGTGCAAGACAGCTGAATTCTCAGTCAAAATAATTAACAGGTACATAATGAGACTAAATACTTATTATCCACTACCACAATTCAAAGATGCATCCAACTTAATGCAATATATGCTCCTTCAGAATTAAAATCCTTTCCTAAATATGTTATGCAAAAAAAAAGTCACAATACAGCTTTTTCACTTCAAGCTTTTCTTAAGACACAAACAAAAAGGCAGGCTATATGGTACATGGGTGAGGGAAAGTCTTAAGTTTTAGTGTCTTGGCCTGAAAGAGTATTTTTAACTTATTTTACCTCAAGGTAAACTACACATAGATTTCATTAAAGCTTAGAAGTCCTCATGGAAGACTAAAATACTAACAAAAACTCAAAACTACTCAAATTAAGAGTTTTCTGTAAAGATGAAGCATTATGTAACTTCTAAAAAGAGATGATAGCCTCATGAAATCTTTCCATTAGCCAAACAAGTCAAAACTCTTTACTAGAAGCAGAAGTGGAAAGTCTAATGGTATTTCTATCATTTCAAGAAAAGGTAGCACAAATTACCACAGTTAATCATATAAGAGATCTCTTTTCCCTATGATTTGTCAGTGATTACTTTGATTATTTTTCCATCATTGTAATAAAATAGATATACAACAGTCTAAGTTACAATCAAGAACCAATTTAAATGAGGTAAGAAATTTAAGGGTATCACCCATACCAGGCACAGAGATGAGCTTTAAACCATGGCAAACCCCAAGCAGAGCTTAGCAAAGATAACTGCAAGTTGATCTAAATACAAGTCAAAGAAAGCTGTAGCCTTTCCCCTAACTGACAACAGAATGCAACATTCTGTTGCTTTTGCAGCAGGAATTATCATATTAGAGCAAGCTTATATAAAACAGAATTAAAATAATTATTTGGATAACAGAAAAAGTTCTGATTTATTTATGGGTAAGAGAAATCCAGCTTCACATTACACACCTCCTCCTTCTGACAACACCTAATCCTGTCTGTAGAACTCCAGAAGGTAGATGAACTGAGAAAACCAGCACTCAGACAAGAAGCAATACTTGTTAAGAAAAAAATATTTCAAACTCTTAAAAAGACCCTTTATACGCAAGCATTTTGTTTCTTTGAAATACTAACCTTGCTTGCTTTATTTATCCCCTCCCCCCCATTTGACAGTATCCTTAGAGTCAGTAAAGTTCTGAAATACAATAGAGTTCTCACCTTTTACAGGCAGATTTCTCTGTCAGCAGTTCTGGAGAAACATATTGTGCTGTCCCTACAAATGAGTTTGCCCGTGCTGGTAAGAAAATTGAAAGAAATAAGCAAATAGATACTTATGGAGGAGCCAACCTTCCCCTCCCTCCCCTGCCCCCACCCAATTAAAAAAAAACCCACCCCAAAGGCAATCTATTGCAACTTATGTAATGCTACAAAGAACCCATGGGAATTTAATTTCTCTACCCATCCACAAAACCTGCTTGGAAGAGACAAATCAATTAATCTCAGTGATATCTATTTGATTCAAAAAGCTAGGCACTTCGTTCGGTATAAAATCTACCAACACAAGCCTACTACATTCAAGTAAAAAATTCAGTTTATCAAATTCAGTTCAGCCTAGTGCTTTTTGCAGGCATTATTTGCAGCACTGATTCACAGGTTAATACTAAGCAACTAGTGACACAAGAATTCTATAACCTTCACATTTAAGTAACTCTGATAGTCACTGGGGTTAAACACATAAGCAGAGTAAAAACTTACTGTTTCAGCTGAGCCACACTAACTATTTGTTTGTATTCTTGTCTCGCAAATGAAAAGTAATTTGAAGTAATTTAACTTCCCACTATACTTGGTGATCTAGGTCACTATACCACTACACCAAATATTACTTCTTAGAATCACAGAATCGTTTAGGTTGGAAAAGACCTTTAAGATCATCCGGTCCAACCATTAACCTACACCTCCAAGTCCACCACTAAACCAATTAAGGGGAGAGTAGTAACTTCATGTTTGCTGGCTTGGTGGCTGGATTATTTTTTAATGAAAGTAAAAACTAGGAATCATTCATTAAGGTTGGAAAGGATCTCTAAGATCATGAGTCCAACCATCAACCTAGCACCACCATGCCCACTAAACCATGTCCCGAAGTGCCACCGCTGCCCCTTTTTTGAACACTTCCAGGGATGGTGACTCCACCACC